TCAATTTTACTACTATATTAGGAAATCAATTTATGCAGATCATTTCATTACTTAATTTATGCATTAATTTGATGATCGATTTTGTAATACCAATTTGATTGACTGCAGATCACCTATAGATCAATTCTGCAGATCTAATTTCAAGGGTAACACTAACATGTCACGCCTAATAAAACATCAAAAACAATCAAGAAAGGTAAAGGTTACAAGTCAAAGTACACAAGTTGATTTTCACGAACCGGATGGTTATGATGATGATGATAATATCGTTTTTCATGATGAGTTAGAGGAAAATGATAATGCTGCAAGTATTATAAGAAAACTTCAAGAAGCAGCAAAAAAATAACACCAGGAATATGCTTTCCGTGAAGCATGTAGACTACGTTATATAAGGAATTCAAAATGCACTAAAAGACAGAAGAATCAGCATGGCGTGAAGCAGCAAAAGGAACTCTTAAGTTGCATACCTTTTGGGAAGTTAAGAAATCCGATAAGAAAATCGATAAGGAGGTGACCGATGAGAATAATATAGAAGTGGATAATGATACTAATGAACATTCGGATGATGAGGTTAATAAACATTCGGACAATGAGGTTGAAGAGGTTGAAGGTTACAACTGGCATAATAAAATTTCAGATGCTCTCAAAAATTTGGAACTAGATATCAAAAAAGAAAAGGTTAACAGTGAGGTTTGGATACGCCTAAACAGCATTCGTCTTTATTTCCAACTTGTAAAATACAACCATTTGAAAAATAAAGCAAGCGAAGTGGTTGCTAATGTGGTGGGAAAAGGAGTATACCATGCTAAATGCATTCATTATTAGGCACGTGAATATATAATGATTCACAAAATTCCCTACTCTCGTCGAGGACATCACGCCAAAACATGGAGCTTTCTCTGAGATGAAAACATTCTTCATAAAGTAAAAGTATATGTTTGAGAGCATAAGTAGGATGTTACTCCACAGATGCTGATGGTGCAAATGAACGAAATTATTTTGCCAGGACTTGGATTTGCATCACCTCCAACCATTCATATTAATACTGCGAAAAATTATTTGAAAGAACTTGGATATAAATATGCCGAGGTGAAAAAGGGTGTATATATAGACAGACATGAGAAAGAAGATGTAGTGGCCTATAGGAAAATATTTTTAAAACAGATGAATAACTTTGAGCATAGAATGCCTATTTTTTCAGGAAACAATTTGGAAAAAATAACCTGGTCAGACAATAATATACAAAAACTTATCCTTATTATACACGACGAGTGTATTTTCTCAGTTTATGATGGAAAATGGAGACTTTGGATTCCTGATAGTGAACAATCCTTACGAAAAAAAGGTAATGATCGCTCGATTCTTGTTAGTGATTTCCTAACAGAAGTTTGTGGCCGCCTTGCTCTTTCTAATGAAATGCAGTCACCAGATGGTTTTTCTAGAGAAGCCTGTGTCATCATGCATCCAGTAAAAAAACAGTGATAGATGGTGGAAGGCTGAAGATTTAATAAAACAGGTAGTTGAACGTGCTATACCATATTTGAAGTACGTTTTCCAGGATGCCAAGCCTTGTTTGCATTTGATACTGCATCACGTCACGCTGCTTTTTCTCCAGACGCGCTTATTGCCAAGTATATGAATTTCAGCCCTAGTGGAAAGCAGCGAAAAATGCGCAGCACAAATTTTGATGAAGGGGTTCGACAGGATATGATCTTTCCACTAGATTATCATATTACTGAATTGCGTGAACAGCCAAAAGAATTAAAGCAAGTTCTAATAGAAAAAGGATTATGGCCAAATGAAGGGTTAAAATTGAAAGAAGCATGAGAAGTAATGAGTCAACAACCAGACTTTTTAGCACAAAAAGGACAATGAGAAGAGGTTATTATTGCAGCTGGACATAAAATTATATTCTATCTCAAGTCTCATTGTGAGCTCAATTACATTGAAAACTTTTAGGGTTCAGCTAAGAAATTTAGCCGATCACATTATGATTACTCATGAACAGGATTACAAAGAACCGTTCTATTGGCTTTTGCTTCTGTTTCACTTATAACTATTCGTCGATATACAAGAAAAGCATTTCACTACATGAATATATACCAAAAAGGCTTGACAGGCCGGGCAGCAGAATTTGCAGTCAAAAAATACCATTCACATCGCTGGGTTCCCGATTCAGCTTTACAATCAATCAATACTTAGAATAAAAGTTTCATTTGATGCATATTTACTTACACTAGCTATGAACAAAAGAAAAGAAGGAAGATTAGTGATTGTGTAAATGATGTGAATGCAACAATAGCAATTAGAGTAAACATTAGAATACTTATCTTGTTTGAATGTCTATTTTTACCTTTTTTTTGAATAAATAAAGAAGAGAAATGCCTCATTTAAATGTTAAAGGTTTATATTTTGAATTTAAAAAGAAAAAAAATTCGTTTATAAAGACAGAATAGGAGACTGTGTTGTTTTATTCTCAATTTAAGTTACATAAAAATCATTTGACTTTATTGCCATTAAAGATTGTGATTGGGAGTATCCATTGATTTTTTTTTTCTAACTTAATGTTTGAGCGCAAATTAGCCAATCAACGATAGGCATATTGATCACATATATCACGTGTATGGCAGCCAAAATATCCAATTTATTAGTAAAATGTCCCAACTTTGAATTGCTACTACTCTGTTAAAAATCATTTTATAGAAAATCTAAAATCGTAGTTTTGTTGAGCTTGAGCTGTTCTATCATTCTACGATTATATTTTATATTTATCATTTTTTTTGAGTGAGAAGTAGTAATTTAAATTTTGTTAAAATTTAGTGGTTGGGATTAGGTTATATGCACTGTAGTATTTTTATTTTAGATAATACATATATATAAAGGGAGAAATTTACATAATCTTATAATGAAGAGATTTTTTTGAATTTTTATCATCATATTCTTCAGACTATAATTCAGTATATTTATATATATACAACATATTATTTAAATATTATATATTTAAATTAAATACTTTATTTTTATAATAGATTGAACAAACCTTTTTTTACATTAAGTATTTTTTACATTAATATCAGTATTAGATTAAATCTGTAGAAGATGCTTTGGATTTTACTTGTATGACTATTAATAAAAATTTAGTAAAAATATATTTTTAATATAATAAATATTTAAATTAAATTTTAATTAATAAATAGTGAATTTATTTTATTTATATAAAAAATTTTTTAAGAGTTAATATTTCACAAATAATTTTGTAATAATTTTACAATGTTTTCAAAATAAGCAAATTTTTATGATTATTATCTATAATTTGTTATGATAAAAAAAAATTATTTACAATAATAAATAATAATAAGATAAATATTAAAAATTAAAATATAAAAATATTATTAAAAAAAAATAAAAAAAAAATATAATTATTAATCAATTATATTAAATAATTTATTATAATTAATAAATTTTAACATAATTCTTAAAAAAAAGTCTTGTATGATTTATTCTGATAAAAATGTGTTTTTATCTAAATCAAGTGATGATTTTGCAATAAACCATTTTTCTTTAAGAAGATTTAATTAGAATATGAAAGATAATTAAAAGAAATAGAAATTAAATATAAAAATAATCAATAAAATTTTTATTTAAATAAAATTCATTAATAAATATTATATGATTTCTTTTTTGTTAGCTAGCTAATTTTATTATTAGAATCATTATTTTCTTGATTTTCTTCATCTAAATTTAAATCTAAATCTAAATCCCAAATATCTTCATTAAGTTTTAAAGAATAATAGTATAATTAGCAAAAAGAATTAAATGTTTAACCTTTTTAACAAAGCAATCTTTTAAAGAAACTAATCTTTATTTTTAATCTTCCAAAAGCATTTTTTATTATAACCTTATGTAATAAATACAGTGGCTTCCAAAAGAAACGCAAGTGGCATTGCTTGCCTTTAATTGCCTGTAACTCACTGTGCACGAA